GGTGGGGGGACAATGAAAACAGAAATAAAAATGAATGAACCCCAGCGAGGGGAGGGAGCCACGCCATTAAGTTTCTGTTTTACGGAAACGCCTTTTGGACACGCTCAGTTCTAATCCAGTGGGAGGCTGCCGAGTGGAGTTGAGATGGATTGAATCCCTTGCGTGCTCTTCCCCAGGCAAACTTATAATAACCGGGGCAAGCATCTTTCTTGTTTACCGTGTTCCCTCCACCAGCCCTTTTGAAAATCCCCGTGTGGGAGGCGATCCTGTGTCACTCTGCAATATTTAACAGAGCAGGGCGTGCTCGCCTCTCTTCCCAGCGGGCGGAGGGAGCTGCTGTGGCAGACATTCCCTCTCCCCTCCGCCCCGGCTCTGGCTCTCACTGGAGTGCCAGCCGAGCGCGCTCGGAGCTGGGCAGTGGCCCGCCGCCCCCCGGTGTTGGAAGAGGGCGGGGGGTGGGGTGATCGGGTAGGAGAGGCTGGGGGTGCTGAGGGACCCCGCCGCCGCGTGCCCGGGGGCCCGCGTGGGGCCAGAGCGGAAGCCGGGAGCAGGGCGCGATCCGCTCGGGAGGCCGGGGAGTGAGGCTGGGGCCCCTCCTGATCGCCGAGGCCGAGAGCGCCAGGGGTGGGTGGCGGTGGGAGGAGGTTGCACACCGCGAGGCTTGGCCCCGAAGAGTCTAACATTGGAGGCCGCGGCGCTGAGAAAGCCGAGCCCCTCGCCGGGGCACCTTCTGCATCCAGCTGCACTTCCTCTTCCCGCGTAAGGGGTGGCGCTGAAGCCGCCGAGGGCTGGGGTCCGCTCTGCGGTCGTTTGTTCTAGCTCTGGTCCCACCACTCGAGCCCATCTTCCAACCCCGTTACCCCCACTGTGTGCTCTGTGTTCTAAGGTCGGCGTGTGTGCGACCTGCGGCAGGCACCGGGGTTGAGCTTGCCTTTCTGGAGTCGGCTGCCCCCGCTCACAGTCGGCCGGCCTTCCCTTGCACCATCGCCACCAAGAGGGCCTCTTGTTTACTTTTTGCCTTTTCTCTGAGGTCACTTTCTGTGCCTCCTCCGGGTACCATTTCCCGCCTCTTTTCTCCATTCACTCAACAAGTACACGCTGAGCCAGCCAGACTGGGCCCGGCCCTCAAGGGACTGACTGAAACTGGCAAAAATGTGCCAACTTAGCTTCCCCTGTTGGGCTCTGACCAACGTTTCCTCCTAGCTCCTTATCTGTACTTTTCATCTGGCAGTCTCTTTCCTGGCATATACTAGTATGTGTGTGTGTATATATATATATATAATTTGCAGGTATGTGTCTGCCTCCGACCAGAACATCAGGGTCTATAGTTCTTGTCTCATCCCACTCTAGATTATACTGAGTATCTCAAAGAATGCTTTGTACATGGTGATGCTGGGGAAAATGCTTGTCTAGTAGGTTATAAAATGATGATCGGTGCCCACTTTATGGCCAGCACTGCCTGTAAATATCTGCAACTTAACATATTTGGCCTCCCCCTGCGTTTTGAATACTATGTCATTGTCCCTTGCTAGGATTTCTCCCTCCCTGACTTTTTGTCTCTGTTGATTTTATGTTCTTCTTGGCTTGCTTATTGCAATAAACAAACAAACAAAAAACACTAAAAACAAAAACGGTGCTGGCTGTTACCCCTTACTTGCAAGTCTTCTTGATCCCAAATTGTATTGCTTCTTTTATTCCAGAGTTTGTGTACCCAGTTTTATAACCTCTCTCCCGCAATCCCAATAGCCAGAAAGCCCTGAACCAGGTGTATAAGAAAATGAAGAATTTCTTTACAGGAGAAGGGAGCTCCATAACCAAGGCTTAGACCCTGTCGGGGACTAGGGCACATTTAAGAAACCACAAGGTCTTAACTTTCCAGGTTCCTTAACTTCAAATGGTTTGAAATAGCTTTGGGAGGAAAGTACAGTGTTGTGAAGCTTCTACTATATCTTTTGAGAAATCATTTGCAGTTGTCCTCAAAAATATTTTCTAGGCATAGTTTCAAACAAAACTTGTCAATGTAGAGAATTATAGTTTATCTCTCAAAAATGAGCTATGCTGTCTTTTGAAGAATTGTGAGGACTGCCAGGAGTGCTGTGTTGAACTTCCAGGTATCATTTAAGTGGACCTTAAATAAGGGTAGTTTATTAAAACGTATCCTATAATCCATATTCATTATTTTATTGCATATGAATGTAGTGGGGCCCCTGTTTTGGAAAAGTGTTGTATGAACACTACAGGGTCCAGCTGAGGCAAGTTTATTGCTGCTTTAACAAATGATTAACCCTCTATTCATTGTTCTAGACACTGAATAAATAGTGCAGACCTTTTAATTTTTTTAGCAAATAATTTTACCTATAACAGATTAGAAAAGCAATTGAAATGAAATGCAAGGGAATACATCCCCTTGAATAGTCATCCTGAACCTCCTCTTAGAACTGCATGCCAAGTTAAAAATACCTGAGGTACTATTCTCTGGAAAAATGAGAGTTTGTTACATGAGGTGGAGGAAAATGCCTGCTTTTAGCTCAATAGCATTTTTGAGTTCCAGTTTTACACTGAAAACTCCTTGTGATTTTACAACATTGAAAAGGGGCATTTTGTTCTTTTATGAGATGTCTGGCTTTTATCTGCTTTTCTCACTAATAGCTGACTTTTTTTTTTATGAAGGCTTCTTGCATGGAGCAAAATCACCTAGTGATTGGTAAGGCTACGTAAAATTCATTCAGTAAGGAGGGCAGCTGGGCTCTGCCTTCTTTCAGCAGCCTGGCAGGTCTGTGCTCAGAGCAGTGGGTGCTTCTTGCTCCAGTTGTAATTGCCTGGCCAATGATGATTATCTTCTGATGTCGGCTGACATGGTGTTCACCAATAGGAAAGCAGGAGGCCTGTGCTGACGGCTGTAACATTAAGTCTGTGAGCTGACGTCACCACAGGGCTTGCCCTGAACCTCCTGAAACCCTCCCCCGCTCCCTCTGGCATCCTCCACATCCATCCTTTCAATGCTTTGTATATTTTTCTGACTTTCCCCCCCTCCCTCCTCTTCTGGTGTTGTTATAAGAGTTTTATATTTTGTGTTCTGTATTGTAAGGTCTATAAGATAGTGTTGGGAATTTTAGAATTAAATACTGACTGGCTAAGGAAACTTTTATCCACAAATTTGTTTTTACGAAGGGGAAAAAGAATGAAAAGAAACACTGTTTAAAAGAATTGCATCTCTACACGTTCTTTCTTATATGTGAGGTTTAGAAAGTAGCATGCTGTACAATTTCAGTATTAAAGGACAGATAAGCATTACAAGCCCGTTTTAATATTTTACTCAATATAGCATCATAATGCCTATTAAACTATAAAATGCAGGCTATTTTTCCTGTAGTGACAATTGCTTTGCATTGATCTCTAAATTTTTCCTGCAACCTGCTGTATGCATTTGTAAGAAAAATGGCTGAAAAATAATGCAAACGGGTCATGAAACAGAAAGGCCAGAGTCTCATTTAATCAGTGACACTAAAGAAAATACAAATTTGGCCAGTTGTCTAGGAAAGTAATGTGTCCACATTGTACTCATTATGTTGCTTGCTACTAATTTTGGAGAATCACCGTTCATATTAGCTTTAAGATTTCAAAGTCTGGGGTGTGAGGAACTTAATTTGTCAATTCAGTAAACTTTAGAAAGCACCAGGATATTAAATATATACACACATATATATATTTCATTGATTCCTTACAGAGAGGAGGGGAGAGGGATAGAGAGTTAGAAACATCGATGAGAGAGAAACATTGATAAGCTGCCTCTTGCACACTCCCCACCGGGTATGTGCCTGCAACCAAGACACATAACCCTGACTGGAATCGAACCCGGGACCCCTGAGTCCACAGGCTGACGCTCTATCCACTGAGCCAAACCAGTCAGGGCAGCACCAGGATATTGGCCTAATATGTGCTGGATTAAGAATGAGAAGCCTGCCCTAGCCAGTTTGGCTCAGTGGAGAGAGCTTTGGTCCGCGGGCTGAAGGGTCCCAGGTTCGGTTCTGGTCAAGGTCCTTTTTGGGCTAGATCCCCAGTGGTAGGCATGCAGGAGGGAGTCAATTAATGATTTTCATCATTGATATTTCTCTCTCTCTCTCCCTTCCTCTCTGAAATCAATAAAAAAATATGTTTTAAAAAAATATATGATCTATGTTCTGATTCTAAAAAAAATAAAATCTTTTTTAAAAGAAAATATATTTTATTGATTTTTTACAGAGAGGAAGGAAGAGGGATAGAGTTAGAAACATCAATGAGAGAGAACATCGATTAGCTGCCTCCTCCACAGCCCCTACTGGGGATGTGCTCGCTCCCAAGGTACATGCCCTTGACCGGAGTTGAACCTGGGACCCTTTAGTCTGCAGACCGACGCTTTATCCACTG